CAATCGATTGGAGCACAATGCGGGAAAACATCGCCAGTGACATACAGCGCCGACTGCATGAAAGTGTGCACGGAGCTCGATGCGTGGAAAAAAACCATACGTCGAAGGTCTTTCAATCGTTGGCATGACCTAAGTCCACGAAAACTAAGGTGGGAATCACCGATTTAATGCAACCAGACAGTTCATGCAGATTACTCATACATCATTAGCTACAGTAAGTCGAGTCAAGCTACAACCGAATAGGTCATGAAGGACGCGCTGTGCTGTTGCAATACCGGAGAAGTGTTGTCATGCATGATTCTTATACGGATATCTAAGCGGTAGCGCATGCTATGCTGCTGATGCCTACGCACCTATGACCCTTCAACAATTAGGTATCTATGAAATATTGGTGATAACATTATGGCGAGGACCAAACCCGAACATAACCCTGAGGCCGCCAGCTTCGGACCATGGCCCGGAGTAAAGACGGTGATTGGTCGAGGCGAAACAGCTGTTTGCACGAGCCCAAGGCGATGTAAGCGACATCGCTACGACGTAAGACGAGCCCAAATACCAGCCCTCAATGCAGACCTCTTCGACCACTCGACATATGTCCCCGTTGCCGCTTTTTCCACCCTCAGCAACCACCCAACTTACGGATTTTACTCTTCCCTCAGAACAGCCGTCGTGAGCACACTTTTCATGTTCTACTAGCACAACATGAACTTTGTATCCGCGGTACAACCGGATCTGCGGCATTGGATTGGTGCTCAACTTCCACATGGCGCGAACATCTTCCTGCAATATTCCTCGATGTCGGTACAGCTGATCATTCGCAGGGCACACGACGAGTCTTCCGAGTCTATGATTTCTTCTCCCTCTAGGTAATCATCTAGTGATAGTTCAGAAATAACTCATTCTGGGGTAAACTATTGCCAGCCGCTTGGCTTTGGTTCCAGCCAAGAGCAAAAAATGTTTAGTCACAACTTTGTAGTCACTGGCAGGATTTGCTTGCTCCTCGCACATGACGATCAATACGATATGAGCAAAGGGAGGGAAAATCAGCCAGTTCGGTTTTTATATCCTTCACATTGATTTAGCTTTGACCCTACACTTCCGTCTTATATGGACCCTTCAGGTACACGAGGGATTTCAAGACACGAAACCATTTCCTAGGTGCCTCACTGAAATCGTTTTACCGTAGGAGTGTGAGAAGACTGCGAGAGAGCATCGACGACATACGGGTGCAGCTCGCAAAGCAGCTGGACCTATTTCGGAGTTGGACAGTCCAATGCAAAAGTAATAAATCAGTGGCCAAACCATGGGCCACTTACCAGTATGTTCGCCAACAATTAGCGCCGAGATCTTCATTTGCATTCATTTCCTTTCTTTACGAAAGATTTCATAAGACGAGCACCTTTGGCACCCTTCCCCAAAACCTCGACTTCAAAACTCAACTGATTTTTTGCTTTTTTCCCAGCCATCAGTCAACCAAAGATGTCATTGAAAAATCTGCCTATTACTGCAGCCTGCTTTACAGTCCGAATAATAGAGCTTTGCTTCACCGCCCTAGACTTGGAAATTTGTAGGATATGCAAAAGTCCACGGTAGGGCGGAAGGCTTATTTCACTTACCTGACAGCCTTCTTCAACAAATGTGACAAACTGTTCCCCCGCTAGTTTCACATCTGACATTGATAAGAGAACAACCGGAGCTCTTCTTCTCGGCATAGTTCTCCTTCACAGACTGAGTTGTGATAAGGATCACCCCTGCACAAGCTTGAATTGTTTACGTTATCACATCAAAATCGCCGACAAATTCATTGATAGGACACCCTCTACCCTAGCGGTGACAGCGCAAAAGCGCATTGTAGCATCGGTTACAGGTCATATAAGAGTCCTGCACAGCAATTCACGTGAAATGGAGAATATCCATCAATTACCCAGAACCATTCGCCAATAAACACCATCAACCATTACTCAAAGCCACTCGCTCATCATCCCGAAGTTATCGCGGCTGAATTCTTTTTTGAGTAGCACCCTTGAACTTTTCTAGCTAATTTACCATACTGTGGTAGCGGTCTTCCTTCATCATTATCAAATATGAGTAAACTGCATGAACTGTCTTCGACTTCCGATATGTCGTGGATCGGACCATTTTGATATTGTTTAGTAGGAAATCATCGTTTTATTGGGTATGCATGGTTTGTTCGATACATGAATATCAGAAATAGTTTTCCATGAAGCTCTGCCCACAATATTATTCTTTAATCGATAATACTCAAGCTGCTCATTAAATTTCGCTATTACGTAGCGACCAGATATTTTGAATACCAATGGAAAAAAATCGCACTGCACTTGCTCAAGACACAGATGCTTTTGAATTGTGACACTTATGAAACGGTAGACCACTATCGCTAACAAAACAAATGGAATAAATTTATATGTATAAACAATTCGACCGATAACAGAAACACAAAATAAAGAAAAACAAATGAATGTAAATGTAACAACGCATTACATACCAGAGACGTTGACACATGTCGGCTCAGCCAACTAGTGATTGGACAAGAATTGCTGGACTAAACGATCAGTACGGTGGACCAAACCCGCCGCGCGGTCTGCCAAATGGTGGGAAACCACGACTAGGTGGGCCAAAGGGTGGACCACCACGTGGACCTACTGGAAACCTTCCTGGGAATGCCCCACGACCTCGAAAACCGGATGTTGGTGTCGTTGGCGGTGGAAAACTTCCGCCACGACCACCCATTGGTAAACCACGTCTAAGATTAGGCGCACCTCGAATACCGCGTACCGGCGGCGCTGAAAAGAAACCGCCACGAGTCGCAGGTCCATTGTCATTCCTGTTCAGTGGAGGAGTCATGAAACCACCGCCTCGTCCAGGCATTGGTGGGAAACCTCGAGGTGTATTCGGAAGATTGCCACGACCACGCATTCCAGGTGGTGGCATAGGAGGAGGACCTGTAACTGCAATTAACAAAGGCTGTCCTAATGGATAAAAACATTTTTGACAGCCATATTTAACACTTCAGAACCCTTCCAAAACAAATGACACACTCTCAAAGTAAATCTCACTGGAATTGACATAGAGATTAAACAAAACCTTAATTAAAGGGGGCATTTCAAAGTAGTTTGTCGTCCGTTTCGCACGTGCTCTTACACGGAAAACAAGCTGACACCGGTACCCTCCCTCCCTACGAATGACACACTCTCAAGTTGACTCAATTCACGGTTTTCTGTATAAAAAAGTCTGACCCGCCAGTCAATAACCCTCCTCCATAGGAGTGGCCAACTCAGTTCAAAAATAAACACTGATGAAACTCAAACTGTTATAAATACGCACCTCCCGCTACACCAAAAGGTCGACCGCGCATTCCTGGACCAGGAGACACACCAGCCCATTCG